GTTCCTACCAACTGACATGAAATAGGTTCTCCATAAATAGGTGTTACTTAAATGTGTGAATGAAAGAATAATGATGATTCTATCTTGTCCCTGCAGCAACATGGAATTCTGGTCACCTCATCTCAGGATAAGCCCAGAAGAAGTAGAATCATAGAAACAAGTGTGTTTGTGAGTTTATCCACTCAACAAACAAAAAAAATCTGTTATGTRTGCAGGCCCCTATGCTAGGCTATGGTGATATGAACAAGATGTAGCCAGTGTCCTCAACGGTTACTGCAATATAGCAGAATAGAAGAATCTACCAGAGACTATACAGGGAGCAGGTGGCATGCTCAGACTGGCCCTGGCACCATCTCAAGCAAGGGGTGCATGGGAGCCGAGGGATATGCACAAAGTGGCAGATGGTATATACCTACAGTCCCAGCTCTCCAGAAAGCTAAGGGAAGAGGATCACTAGAGCCCAGAAGTTTGAGACCAGCCTGGGCAACACACACACACACTGGCTTAAAAAAAAAAAAAAAAAAAACAGCAGCAGCAACAAAAATGGAGAATTAGGCCATGAGGTGATGCTAATGGGAAAATTCACCTGAGAATATGGATTGCCAGAAAAGAGCAAGGCATCTTGGCCAGGGACAGGACAGAGAAACAATCTCGCACGTTGGTGAATCATCATCTTAGGTATAAATCAGAAAGCTGCAAGGGGTGGGGGATCCAAGACCTGCATGAACACTCTGCTAAATATATTATGGGAACTGGCTACCTTTAAATTCTCAACCACAAAGACCCACAATCTTAGCAAAGCCAGAGAATCATTTCCCAGATAAAATCATGCCTGCTTTGTGCCTGAATAATCAGCCAAAATCTCTTTTCTTCCTATGGAAGAATCCCAATCATTACCTGCTTTACAAGTCCCAACTCAACCACCACCAGACCCCAGAAAAGTCTTTCCCAACCTTCTCATTGAGTGACTCCAAAGTCACTGTGGGATCCTTTGAGGCACTGAGCTAAGCTAAGTTCTACACTGAGCTAAGTAAACCTGGCTTTATGTAGCTGCGGGCATATCCTTGAGGAGCTTGAAGGAGTTGAAGTTCATGTCCACCTAGAAAAGCCAGGATTTGAACTGAATATTAAATAAACACATTGCCCTGAGGTTTGCCCTTCCAACTTTTGGGTACATTGTTTCACACACAGGAACACCTTCCCAAATCCCCGACAGTTCACATTGAGCTCAGAGCCCCTGAAATTGTCTTGGTAACTGGAAACCTATAGTTTCTGAGGGGACTTCCAGTGGCAAAAGCTGTTGCTATTGGGGTGTTTGGGAAGGGGAGAGAAAGTGAGGCAGGAATCCCCTTTCTCCTGGCTCTGCCCCACCTCAAAACACACTGCAGCAATACAAAGGACAGGGAGGTCTGGCACTTGTGACTGTGCTGATCAGAAATGTGTTAGGAACTGTTAGTGCAGTTGTGCAGAGAATTGCTGCACCTCAAGATGATCCATGAGCGCCACCTAGTGGGATGTTCTACACTGCTGCCCAGACCACTGATTTTTCTTCTTTCCATTTTTGGTTCTGGGGATGATAATCCAGAGTGTCTGCATGTTAGGCAAGCACTCTAGCACCATTGAGCCAGATTCCGAGCTCCCCAGCCCCCACCACCTCCAGCTTGTAGCATGAGAATGGTGTGGCTCTGTGCACCAAGGAGGCTGGCGGGTGGCATCTGTCAGAAACAGCAGTTAGAACTAAATTGTCYTGGAAAAGTGCTTTGCATGACATGCCCGCTGGTGCACACCTGTAATTCCAGTTTGAAAATAGTAAGTTCAAAGCCAGCCAGCCTCAGCAAAGTATGAAGGCCCTAAGGAAATTAAAAAGACCCTCCCTGTCTCAAAATTAAAAATAATAGTCTCACACAAATCTATGGTCTCTGAATTTTTTTTAAAAAATGTGTTCCTTTAACTTTGGCCCCCAGGAACATGAGAGTCAAAAATGTGGTCATCTTTAACAGAACCTTAGAATAATCTCTGTATTAATCTTACCCGTTTTTTTAATCTAAGCCCCCCCCACCAAGTCATTCCTTATCTAGTTTTTCTCTCATATGAAAGATAATTCAAAAAACACTTCAAGCATCCACCTGTACCTCACTTCATGTGTCATGAGCTACATTCACCCACACCTGGTGTAACAACTTTCCATTTCAGACAGGGGTTCACAAGCTGCATCCCTTCCACTTCCTTTTTCAAGGTATTTAATGTGTTAAACTGCACTGGTGTTTTAAAATTTGCTTTCATCTGACTCGTCATGTTTTACTGACAAAATTTTAATGTACCCTTGAACCCCACCTTCTATTGGTAAAATTTTGCACAACTTTAGGAAGGAAGTGGATCCAGCCATTTCAGAAGGAAAGGAGTGTTTCCTGCTCTACATGAACTCAGCAACTCAGCTCTGCACTCTGCCCTTTTGGCATCTTTCCCATCAGCCCAACTGACATACATTCAGTACTTATTTGGATCACAAATTAGAGGCAAGTATTAACTTAATGAGACCATCTAAAAAAAAAATTTWAAAAAGGGCAGGTGTAGCTCCATGATTGCATAGCATGTGCAAGGCCAAGTTCAATCCCCAGTACCACACAATTAGTTTGTAGCAACATAAAAAAAACAGAATGAATGTTTCAGACTTATGTAAGGATACAACTTGAATACATCCTATGTCATTGTTTTAAAGCAATTTTGGATACACGCAGATATATTCTATTTCTGTATATCACCATGGCAAACAATTGTTGGTTAGATGCACTATCCCTGAAAACAATATTCCTGAACCTTGTGCATCTCTTTTTGTATTTTGAATACCAGAGTATCTTTAAAATTCTTCTCAAATTCGGTTCCAAGAGGTTTTGTTCCCAAATCTTTAAGGTCCCTTAATTTGACAATTGCTTGTATATATGATATATAATGAAGGTCACGTTATCATTGATGGATTGGAAACACCTATTCTTGTTACTGAATTAAAAGGGCAAAATGCACAAGGTTGGGGATGGGGAGATCAAAAGATGGAAAAGTGGAGGGGGGTTAGAAAGGACCTAATTTAGTAGTATTAGGAAATGAAATTCCAAGACAAGCAATAGTGAAACCAGTGACTCAAATTGAGAAACTATAGGAATTGGCAGTACCCCCTTATCTTCTTCCAAGGATGGGTGTAAAATAAGGACTGGTGATGTGAAGATCCCTTTTGCTGTGCTACACAGCTGGGCAACTACCTTCTCTCCACCTTTAAGACTCCAGATTCCCAGGTCAATGAATGAGTGGAAAGGGACACACATTCTCTGGGATGGCAGGAGTGTCCTACTAATGCTGAAAGCAGAAGCCCTGCTGGACAGATGGCCCACCACCTTCAGGAAGATGAGGAGCACCTACTCACTGCAGCTAATACACTTTAGTTCCCCACTTAGATACCAGTGTTACCAGACATTTGAGGAATGCCTTTAATCATGAAAGAAAATTTTTTAAAAAGACAATTTAAGGTAAATTAGACTATTCACAACTGGAAGGCATTCCAAAACACTAACATTCTCAGAGATGAAAGACAGTGATGCAACCTTACTTTTGCAAATGTAAAACTGGAGGGAGAAAAAATGGTTTAGAATATAAAGCTGAGAAAACATCCCAAAGTGGAGCAATTTGATAAGCAGAAAATAAAGGAAGTCAATGATATCAAGATAATTAAAATTCTCGCCTCCCCCTCCCCTAAAGTGCACTGCAGAAGGGACATTATCCATATGCAGCATCTAATATTTCCTCTCAGTTATCAAATTATATTCACATCACTTCACACCTTAGTTATTACTAACTTCTAAGGGGCTGGTTTTKTTATCCAACACAATGCTCCCCCAGCCCTTCCACCAGTGGTTTTTTCCAAGGGAAACAAAATAGCTTATTTGAAAAGTGGGAATCCAGCCATACTTAAAAGCTAATTAGCTCATTCCACATTTCAGCTTCCAGCAAATGCCAGTCAAGACCAAAAACTGTTTCTTATGCCTAGGTCAGGTTTATCCCTCCCATATTGAGAGCCAACAGATATCTGAACAAATTTACTCAATATTTTTGCCTTCAAAATGGAATTTGTAGGCTTTCCTCAACTTGAATTTTGATTCATGCCAGGCAATTTGTGTAAATTACTATATTTTTAGTTAACACCGCAGGGTAATATTAAAATCAGACCAACTGGTAAAAATAACAGCAGTGCATGACATTCCCTACTCTAAGGTACAAGGACAAAGCAGAATGCCAGAGACTAGTTACCCTGAGACTAAGCCATCAGCGAGATGGCACTTGTCAGGCAATGCAGCTAGGCCCTTTTAAGAGTTTTCTCTTAGTGATCTAATAAGGTTGTTGTCTCCATCCTATATGCAAGGAAACAAAGACTCAGGGCACCTTAGTAGTGTTATGTCCCTTTAACTTTAGATTAGAAAGCTAGTACCTTCATTACCACCATGTACAGGGAGTGGCAAGCAGGAATAGAACCTGGCTGACTGGAGTCAATTTTTCACTTTTAACTGTTAATCTATATACTGGAATGCCTAAATAAGAAGTCTTTAAACCTAATGTACCTTCTGGAAAAACAGAGTTTCGTTATCAAGTTGCCCAATCAACAAAAGTTTTCCAAGAACAAAGAGATGCTGATATTCAATTCAGCACAGTTCAGAGGATTTCTTGAAGCCAACAGTTGGCAAATAAGTCTTTTTTTTTTAACCGAATTGTGTACTGAATATCAGTACCCACATTACACGGAATATCTAAATTTATACAAAACTATTTCATAATACAAGTCTAAAACAAAATGCTGGTGAAATAAAGTATGTAGAAAAGATGGCCCCTAAAACATCCTTGCTCGCTCCTATACTGAGATTCATCAAAACCTTCACTGYCATGTATGTTAACACCCAGCATCATCTTACTAAGTTGTTTATAATGAAGACTCTGAAAAAAATAGTTGCAATATACACAAAGCTGAAATGTAAAATCTCACCTCTATTTGTGACAGAAGCCATCAAAGTAAAACATGAGGAGGAATAAAAACATTTTATCTGTGTATTCAGAACCACACACAAGTTACCTTTACAGTTCAATTTACTATATAGAAATCATTTGGGTTTTATATTTTCAGTTAAATTTTGAACTGAGATTACAATAGTATATAAAAAGATTTTACATTAATTCAGTTGTTAGCATACCAAATTGAAATACATAAGGTTCAAACTTCAGATTTATGGTAAACAGTCTTCAAATACAATACAGACATTTCTTAAAAGTTTCATTCACATATATCATTCACATGTGATACCTGCAACTCTGAACTGTTGCTCTCCTATGGGATGGCAAAATTGACATGCCATGAAGCTCAAGCCTGTAAAGTTAAGCCAAATGACTCAAAACTTGTACCATCTTTTAAAGGATTTGGCATTTCTGGACCACAATAACCAACAATATATGAAGAAGGTAGAGTGTTATTTCTTCTCATTTCAGTTAATAAAAAAAAAAAAAAAAAGATTGCATGGTAAATTGGAATTTTGCATAAAACCCCATTATACCTTGGTAAAGTCCAAGGGCAATTAGAGGACAATGGATTGGGGTCCTAAATTTTTTAGTAGAACCCATGAAATTCAAAAATGGGCATTAATTAAATCAAAAACATTAAGCACCTACTGGTTTGAGATTGAAATTAGAGATTCATGATCGATTTCTTTCCACCTTGAAATCAAGGTGTAAAAACCAGCAATTAAGTGCATTCCAAACTTCTCCTATGTAGCACAGGTAGAATTTTCTGTCCATTGGCACCAAAGTGAAGTCACATTTCCTCTTGGGGGACAGAAATTCCACATCTGAACATAGAGTAAGTTAGGAAAAAATGACCCCTGTTGTTTATTTTATTACTATTGTGATTCTGAGATCTAGGATTACTAATACACTAGCAGTGAACAAAGCAAATTCCTGACAACTGTCAGGTTAGTGCTGCTAAGTCCCTTCCCCAACCACCATAAAATTTTAGTATGAAAGATTTTAAAGGAATTGCTAAGCTGAACAAATAGAAAAACAAACAAGAAACTAAGGGAATAGTTCAAACCAATAACAAAAAGAGAATCCTAAAATTTTAAATCACTGCAATTAAAAAATTGAAGAAAAAAGAAAAAATTAAGTGTGCTTCACCCCATACCCCCTCCCCATTCTGAATTTAAATATTCTGTGCAAAAGAGCATCAGATTTCTGGTTATAGATGTAGCCCTTCTATAAGTTTTAGTGCTCTGCAGTTTTCTGCAATTTTATCTCCCTCCCCCCAACCAAGTTTATTCAAAGTATTTAATAGAATCTTCCATGTCAGCCGAAAGATTTGTGATTCAAAGATTTACTAAGGTACTCTATGCATTCTACCTATACAGAAACACCTACTAATTGTTACAATTGGTTTATGCAGGATTAACAGTTTTGGTGTTAAAATGGTTAAACATCATGCTTAATGCACATCAACTCTCCATTAATGAATCTGAACTTCACAATGATTTACCACACTTTAAATTACTAATTAAATAACTGAAAAAAAATGGACTAAGCCAAACTAAACTTAAATGGGCTATAAAGAAAAATAACCCTCAAAACAGACCATATACACATCTATTTCAAAACTACCTTTCCTATCTAGCCCCTTTCCCAAAGTTTTAGCCTGAAAAAACAGTAAAATCTACACAAAATTTTATTGCAATCATACAAGGGTTACATTAGGTCAAATACAACAAATACTATGATGCAATTTTACATTTATTAAACTACAGTTCAAAGCACAAATTTACACATTCTAAATACACTAAACGTATCTAATGAAGTCACGTTTGCCTTCCACTGATATCTGATATATCTGGGTGAAAGACATTAACTTTACAAGACTTTTAAACACGAATCCTTAGTATAAAAACTGTGTACTTGTATGTAAACGGTTTAATGGGGAACCCAATTAGTGGGCTTCCATCTCCACTAAGTCATCCATTTTGTTGCATATTTTATTTTAAACACTTAAGGGGCTGTTCAAACTGGTAAGTTTAAATCTGGATACATTATCTATATCTCCCATTACCCCCCAAATGAATTATAAATGAAAGCTGATTTCGTCTGGTCCCAAATAGCTATTACTATTAATTTTTGTTTCCAAGAGAATTAACAGAATAAGATTGTTTAATTTTTTTTCACCGGAATGTAGACCAGACAAGCTTAACCTGCTAACTTCAGATCTAAAGAAGCATGAATGCCTGTTTAAGCTTCAGTGGAAAAGCTGTCTTCTTGGCTCAGCTGAATGCAAGAAGGCACAAAGAAGAAGTTCTTCATCATTGTGTCTGAAGTAATTCCAGCATCTTGCATCTCATACCAATCACTGAATGACATCATGTAATAAATAGCTGGCCTCTGAAAATCATTAAAAGCAGATGGTTCATGGAAAGAATCTGCTCCCATGTTATCAAAGATAAGCCAATCACCCACATTCAGCTCAGGAAGTAGACAATTTTCCACAATCTGATCAAGCTCATCACAGGATGGACCCCAAAGGCTGCTTGTAAAGAGAGGCTCATCTTCCTTGTATTTCTTGTGAACCTCTGGAATGGTATTTAAGTCCTCAGATAGTTTACTTGCAAAAGAACCATAAACACCATCATTCATATAATACATAAAAGCTGGTTCATCACTCCCGGTTTTTCCTACTAAGAAAAAAGATACATTCATAATAATATGTCTAATATAGTGATTTAGAATGCATTATAAAATAAACTGAGTTTAATTATCTATAAGACCAGTATAATTTTCACATATCTCAATATAGTAACTTTAAAAAAGAGAAAAAAACTTATACAATGAAATACCTTAAAATTTAGCCTGAAAGACTAAGTTTGTTCAGCATATCAAAGAACTCAAATCTGACTGAGCAATAATGAAAGTAATAGATTATATAACCTATTGAGTACAATTCTCAATAAATATGTATCAATAAATATGTATCAATGTGTGGGGGAAGCAAAAACTATCCTTTAAAGGCTAACCACAGTAACAAACTTAATGATTTAATAAATGCTAAAACCAACGGGGTAAAAGTATGATGAAAAAAGGGAAATAAATGCAATATGTGATCCTGGATTGCATTTTAATTATGGAAGAGAGGAAAAGTTTACTGTAAAGGACAGTATTGGGTAAATTGTTCATTTTTTTTTTCTTTAAAGAGAGAGTGAGAGAGGAGAGAGAGAGAGAGAGAATTTTTAATATTTATTTTTAGTTCTTGGCAGACACAACATCTTTGTTGGTATGTGGTGCTGAGGATCGAACCCRGGCCGCACGCATGCCAGGCGAGYGCGCTACCGCTTGAGCCACATCCTCAGCCCAGGGTAAATTGTTCATATTCCTATGGACTAATCCATACCAAAAGCAACTAAGTCACATTAATTTAAAGCCTTACTTTCCTATAGTGATACTAACTGATACTATCTAATAATGCATTTTTACTGATTTGACTTGAAGAATGGATATAAAGATTCTCTGTTGGTCCTTGTGTAAGAAAAATATAGATTAGATTCTTCCTCTAATCCATTTGAGGCCAAGAGGAATGTTAACAGAGATCACATGAAACTGGCTTTCGATAAGGGATAAGAACCAATCATCTGGAAGTTCATCTCAAGCATGCACATATATATATAAAAACATCAATACCAAGAGAGCTGCGTTTAAAGTCTTATGAAACTACCTTTTGAATAATTCCCTAGCTGGCTGAAAACTACCCATAATTTTGAGCATTTATTCACCCCCAAACTATCTGGAATTATCTACTAACAAAAATAAAACTATGAACTTTAATAACTTACCTCCAGAGGAAAATTTATCATTTTCGACAACTTTCTTTGCAATGATATTAACTGCAAGTGTAAATGCAGAAGACACATAGTAGCTTCCAGGTTCTGAAATTATCTTAATGCCAGAGCCTTCAGGAAAGTAGATATCCAACAGAGGGCTGATAACATGATTAACCTATGGATTTTAAATTCYAGGTTATGGTATCAATGCTGGATTACAGAATTCTCAATATTAACAGCTTCACATCTATTACTAAATTTTCCTAGGAAAATTAAAAAGCTCTAATTACAGACCACAAAGCTTAGCTATTTAGTTAGGTACCTCTCCAAAAATGCACAAGTTTGCTTTCAAGTAAAAAAAAATAAAAAATAAAAATGTTGGTGGGGGAAGTACCAGGGATTGAACTCAATCAAGAGCACTCAACTACTGAGCTATAGCTCCAGCCCTATTTTGTATTTTATTTAGAGACAGGGTCTCACTGAGTTGCTTAGCACCTCACCATTGCTGAGGCTAGCTTTGAACTCATAATCTTCCTGTCTCAGCCTCCCGAGGGGCAGGGATTACACATGTAACACACCACTCAGCTTTTCAAGTTAAAATTTTCTAACAACCAGAATGGCATTAATTTTTAAAAGCCTTAATTCATTTTAAACAAATTTCTAAATATTATAGAATGAGGGAAAGAGGGCTGAACAAGAAGGCGAAAGACATCAGTTATTGAAATTAAGTTAATCTGGATTTCAAGAATATAAACTGAAGGGCCTGGTATGGTAGCACACACCTGTAATCCCAGAAGCTTGGGAGGCTGAGGCAGGAAGATCACAGTTCAAAGCCAGATTTGGTAACTTGGAAAGACTCTAAGCAACTTAGCAGGACCCTGTCTCTAAGTGAAAATTAAAAAGGACTGGAGATGTGGTTCAGCAGTTAAGCGCCCCTGGGTTCAATCCCTGGTACCAAAAAAAAAAAAAAAGAATAGAAACTGAAATAGGAAATCTTTGTGATACTGACAGTACGGCTTGCCTAGTATTCACTAAGCCCTGGGCTGACCTGACCAGGACTACTAGGTGAGGGGATATTTTGTGATAATGTTATAGGGTTCAAAGATTTTTTTTTTCCCCCTTCCCCATTGCTGGGGATTGAACTCAGGGCCTCATGTATACTARGCAAATACTCTACCACTGAGCCAAATCACTAGCCAAAGAATTCAAAAAATTTCAAGAATTTTAAACTTCAAAATTGACTAGGATTTCTCATTGCCTGTTGATTTTCTTTATGAACGTTCTGCCATAAACTTCTTATTGGCTCAATAAGAAGCAAAGAAGGTAAATTATTCCAATATATCCATCAACTGAAAAATGTTTACCTCTTCCAATTGAAATTCAGTTCCTGTAAAGCCTCCACCAATGTCTAACATGTTCATTGTAAAACCAAATTCTCCCTAGAGATGAAAAACAAACAAAACTTTTAAATGCTTTTGGATATGAGAACATTTCAAACCCCTCCCCCGAAGGTAAAGATCTGTTTTCTGATCTTCAGTAATCAAATTCTTGTTTTTTATTAACAAGCAACAGATTAACTTGATGTTAAGTATATTACCATTTCCCTGATGTTACCTGCACTCTTTTAGACATGTAAAATACTATTTCATTCCTTTACCCACTTAAGGAGTATGACTGCATTGAACCTTAATCCTTGTACTATTAAACATATGTAAAACTGAGTAATTCACACAGACAAAAAACAATACTGAGTCTTAGTCTTAAATAATATCCTGGCTTAAAATACAAAATAATTTGAAGAACAAACTTACAGCCATGTCAAATACACATCGAGCATCAGATAGAGCATGTACGTATACTTGAGATTCTTTGCAAGCACTTGAAACATGAAATCTAAAAGAAATAAGAGTAATAAATTTAAAGCAGTACTAAGTTTTCAAAGCACTTTAATTCCTTTCAATTATCATTCACCATATTGATACCATTAGTCATACATTATATCTAACAGAACAGTAGCCTCTAATTATCCAAGTCAAAATACTAGGCTTTTAAGAAATGGTGATGTTTGAATGATATTGTAATGCTATGACAAAATTTTTTTAATGAGTCAGATAGTCACACTTCATTGTAATAAAAGAGGACATGCTTTTATACAAATGGGATCTCAAATTTTGACAAATGTATCTGACCAAATATAAAACTATGTCACTTGTGAAATAAACACAAACAAACATCAATTCAACTGGCTGAGTCATACTCATTAGTATTACTAATTTGAAGTATTATATACTTCAAATTCTTAAATTTAACTCAAATACTGTTCTACTATATTCTGATTGTGGCAGTCGTTATACGAACGTCAAAATCCACAGAAATGTAAACACCCCAAAAATGTTATCTACTGTGCAGAATACAGCAATCTTCAATTTCTTTCTTTTTTTTTTGAGAGAGAATTTTTTAAATATTTATTTTTTAGTTTTCGATAGACCCACATATCTTTATTAATTATTTTTTTTTTAATGTAGTAGTGCTGAGGATCAAACCCAGCGCCCCGCGCATGCCAGGCGAGCATGCTACAGCTTGAGCTACATCCCCAGCCCAATCTTCAATTTCATTTAAAAGGTTACCAATTTTTTTTGTGTGTACAAAATATATGGAAAGATATACAATGAACTATACATCTTTGTGAACATTTTAAAAAGCAAGATCTTTCACTGTAATTGAGACTAGCAATGGACTGGAAACCCAGAAAACCTGGGGCTTAGTATTATTGTATCCTTAATTTGTTCTGAGATTTTGACCAAATCATTACACTTCTGGATATAGGTTTCCTTGCATTTAAAAAATTTAAAGGATAAAACAAAGTCTGATTTATTGAAATGGCCCTGAAGGATTAAAAAGAGGGAAAAAAATCAGATGAGAAACAAAACCTACAACTACAACTTAGCAATTGAATGCCATTTTAATATTCATTAAATTCTAGTAAATCCCACCCATCCAACCTAAAATGATGTGATTGATATAGGGGCTAGAGATGAGGTTCTAGAGAAAGATTATCACCATAAAATGAAGTTTAAAACAAATACTCACTTGACCCCAATTATTTGGACATCAAGTTCCTTAGCACATTCCAAGAGATGCCTACAGTTCTTCAGTGTAGTGCCAAACTTCATGCTACCCTCTTCACCTCCAATAGTATCTTCTGTTGCAATATGTAGTAAGACCCTAAGAGAAGAGGAAGATGATTGGGGCAGAGTTGGTTTACATCATCATCAGCACATTTGAAGCCTGAAGATTGTAGGAAGTGTGTTGATTATGTTGTCAGTGCTCCCAAATCCAGCGATGGATGAATCAAGTGAACCTAATGAAAAACAATCCTGTATAGAGAAAAAACTAGCAATTAGGGCCTAAGGCATGAAGCTTACAAGGATGGGATTTTGGAAAATGCAGCAAGTTTATGACTCTTGTAGCAGCAAGAGTCATTTGGGCTCTGTAATGAGAGACATTACTTTCAAATGAAGTCCATCAGTCCATAAATCCACCTAGAAAGACTAAATTGAATAGCAATGCCATCAATGTCTTTCAATAAAAACACTGGGACTTTTAGTGTCAAAGTTCCTAGATTTTTTTAGCTAGGTAACCCTTCATTATACACACTAAATATTTTAGTTACTACAAGTGTCTAAATGGCAGCATTTACTCTGCTTGACTCAAATATATTTCCTTTAAAACCAGGAAAACCAAGACAACTGATTAAATGTCTCTACTATCAGGAATTAAGTAATTGATAAGCTACCAAAAGCTACAAATACATACATGCTGTTTGTAAAAACCATTTACCCATGGAACTCCTAGTGAATGACAAATGATCAGAAGGCAAGATTGATGAAAACAAAATCATTCCAAGAGGAGAATCAGCTCTATGAAGATGGTACCATTTGGTTTACAATTTAACACAGTAAATAACCACGTCAAAGTTTGTCTTAAGACCACAAAGCAGCTAGGTTTTTTTTTAAAGAAAAGTGATTCCCTATAATTTTTCTTCCAAAAGGACTTTATCCCAAGGTTTTCAGAGTAATAAATGCTGCCAGGATACCTTACAAAACTTATAGCTCAATAAAAAAAAATACAGATACGATACATTTTTTTCAGGAAAATATTACTCTTAATATAGCTATGGTCTCTAATTTGATTTTCACATCATTTTTTCCCTTGAATTTAAAATTAAGATTATATCCCAAAGTGTAGTTACTTTATCCTAATTCTTCAAGAGGACCAAAGTAGGCAATCAATAAAAATGCTATTAGCATTTTTCATATAGGAACTCTAATTACCTACATACCACTGCTCTACCAAAAATTTCCCTCCTTCCCCGCAAAACACAAACTCATGCACTAAGTAATCCGATAATATTCAAGTACTTATTTTTTTTGGACTCACTTGGCATTTGGATGATTTCGTGCGATTTTCTTCAATTCAATCTCACTGTCACATGTCATGATATTTACTCCAATTTTTGCTGCATACTTTATCTGAGAAACTTGCTTGCAAGGACTTATGTAAATGATATTTTCTGGAGATACACCCAATTCCTGCAGTAAAGCCATTTCATTCTGTGAAAAGACATTTTGAAAACTCATCTAAAAGGAAAAACTTTGATTGCTTTCATTCAATTACTCTCATACTTTTTTGCAGTGATGGGTTATAAGATAATATAAGGCCTTGTCCATAAAATTCATAGGTTATTTTTTTTTTTTTAAAGAGAGAATTTTTTTTTTTTTATATTTATTTTTTGGAGCTGGGGATGTGGCTCAAGCGGTAGCGCACTCGCCTGGTGTGCATGCGGCCCGGGTTCGATCCTCAGCACCACATACAAAGATGTTGTGTCCACCAAAAACTAAAAAATAAACGTTAAAAAATTCTCTGTCTCTCTCTCTCTTAAAAAAAAAAAAATAAAATATATATATATATAAGTTTTTGGCGGACACAACATCTTTATTTGTATGTGGTGCTGAGGATCAAACCCAGCGCATGCCAGGTGAGCGTGCTACCACTTGAGCCACATCCCCAGCCCCCATAGGTTATCTTTGATTAGACTAAAATTATATTTAATGCTTCCCTATACTTGTTTTAAAAAAGTAAAAATAAACCATTTATAAAGAAAAAAAACCCCTCAGTTTAGAAGTATTTGCTAGTCAGTAGTAGTTTGATCTAGAGAGCTAGCTCTAGGCCTAGAAATGAATAATAAAGTTCATGATTAACAGAGAAAGTTTTTCAAAAGATCATCACATTGAAACTTTTCTATTGGTAAAACTGAAGAGTTAATAGGGACTGTGTTTGAATAAAATTATTTAAAATCCATCCAGAAATCAAAATTTTTTTATATTTGTTCTGCTATTGCTGTGGGTAGCTAGAAGTTAAAGTGAATTCTAAATGTTGTGATTAGTGAAAAAATAATCCAAAATACTTACTTTACTGGAACAAGCAAATCCAATTCCAAGAGCTGCCAAAATCTCAAGTACAGCTGGAGTAGAGTTGCACTTCACTGTGTAAAATGGCTTTATCTGAGCCACTACATTCTGCCACTGACTGTGTTTCTTCACAATCTTTCCAAGATCCCCCACGAAAAATGCATTTTTCCCTGTCTATTATGGTTAAAACAAAGAACAAAGAACCACTGAAAATAGACTATCATAAGTAGAAAAATAATCCTCACTATTCCTTATATTCACTAGCATATTCAACTTTTTTTTTATTAACAATTAAATTAGTCCTAGTAAACATTAAAAGAAAACTTAAACACATTTATCTTCATTCTGTTTATAGTACCTCATCCATTTGAGGCATCTACCATTGAGCTCTAGCCCTAGTGTTGATCTTTTAAAATTTGACATTTTGCTGTATGTGCTATACCGGCATATACAATACTTTTTTGGGGCTCTCATAAGAATCAATTTCCCAATTTTACTTTTTAGAAGTTGAATGAAGGAGACCTATTTCCTTCCATGCTACTGTTACTTTGGCAGTTCAGGATATAATTTTTTGACTACAGAAATGAGAATTTGGAATGTTCAACAAAGGATATACCTCCATTAAAACTGCACATTAAGCTAGGCGCAGTGACACATGCCTATAATCTCAGTGAGCCCAGAGGCTAAGACAGGAAGATGGGAAGTTCAAAGCCAGCCTCAGAAGATTAGTGAGACCCTTCAAAAAATAAAAAGGACTGAAGGTACAGCTCAGTGGAAAGCACTCCTGGGTTCAACTGCCAGTATTTAATGGGCTAACTGCAAAGAGAGCTGGGATAAAATACACCAGGTATTCAGTTTTATTTATTATCTTAGACAAAACGTGAAACTGGAAGAATGAGAGTAGGCAATGGAAAACTAATGAACTTGAGGGAATGGGGAAACTGTACTTAATGAATATTCAATGAAATTAAGCAGAAAATGTGCGGTTAGGAGATCACTATTCTAAATAACATGTGCAAGGCAACCAGGGATAATGGGAAATAATACAAAGAATATTAAGGTATTTCTAAGATTATACCTGACCCAGGGGAAAAAAAATGTTACAGTTGGAAGAGAATGATAAAGAGAAAAGGCACTAAAATCTGACTACAAGCTTCTTAGGAGCTGGTTGAACAGTATAAGTTCAAAGTTTGATAATGAAGGATGAGAAAGTAAGAGATTTTGCTAGGGTGAGGGAAGACTGCTCTAGCATTTCTGTAGAATCCAAGTCAAAAGAAGGATAAAAGTCTTTTGGGTATCCTATTACAGAACACTAAAATAACATGATAATCCAACAAATTTGAAGAATATAGGAAACTAGTTCCACCCAAAATGAGCAAATCCTAGCCAGGCATCGTGGCAGATGCCTACAATCCCAACTAACCAGGAAACTAAGACAGGAGGATTCCATGTTGAGACCAGCCTGGGCAATTTAGCAACGTCCTGCCTCAAAAAAATAGAAGGGATAGAGCGATGAGGCTCAGTGGTAGAACATTTGCCTAGCATACCCAAGGCACTGGCTTCAATCCCTAGTACTGGGGTAGGGATGGGAATCCATTAGTAAGTTAATAAATGAAAATAATTCTACTAGTCTAAAATAAAAACAAATGATCTAAATTAGAGTTGAATATAATTCTGGAATGTATGACTTTGTACAGGTTGACTCTCCTGGGAAGTAAACATTCAGTATAAACTATCAAATTCATAATCAACATATGTAAAGAAAATTAAATAATGAGGTTGAGGAAAATTAATAAGAAGCCATGTGCTAATTAGGTTTTCCAGCAATGTTTTAAGAAAATAAACAGAAGAGTTAGGTGCTAAAAAATAGAGAAGTGGCAATTACAAAACATTTTTAAATAATGTAGACTAAAAAGAGATACACTGTTCAAGGTAGGGGTGTCTGTTAATTTAAAACCTGGAAAAGTTAACCAAATCAAACACTTTTATCAGATTAACTTCTTAGAAATTAACAAAGCACTGATGTTTTCAAATTAGGAAAATTATTTTGAAATTATGAAATGGTGCACTTACAAGAGTATGTTCATAAACATAGTTATCAATAACATTTCCAAGGTTTGTTCCTTCATCCAACAGGCCAACAGAGTAGTTTGCATCGTCAATAAATCCTTTCATCTCAGCCGTATTCCACAAAGCCGAAAGTCATAAACCAGGAAAAACAAGAGACGGGCCACCAAGCCTATGTCTGGGTCCTTAGAATATGCAACAAACTGTCAAAATAAAAGTTATATCAAAGTCTGCATTATTTCAGTAGTTAAACATTACATGAATTATTAGTGAAAGTGTGCCAAGTRCTTAATTTAGTCAAGAATTTGTGATCACTTAGCATTCAGAAACATTGAATTACTTTAATGCCCACTCTAAAAAGTTAGTAAATGTATATTTTATACATTTAAGAAATAAGCTCAATATAATTTATTGAGAAGGTAACCCACCCAGGTACCCAGTAACAAATAGTAGGACCAGGTAACTTCAGACATGTCTTACAATATTCTAGAGTAGATAAAAATAATAGAACTAGCTGGGTGGAGGATAGCTTCAGGGGACAAACCGTGACTTCTTTGAATATAGACTGTTCAGGTTTTATACTCAATGTAAATGATACTAGCTATATCAAGATAGCAATCCCAAGAGGTTATCTGACTTGGCAAAATGACTGGAACAGGAATTAGAACACCTGGTCTGGGCTTTTTTTTTTTAGTACTATCCAAATCTTACCTCAATTTCTCAAAATCTCCCTTAACCATCTTAGTTACTTTCTCAAAAGGCTGTTGTAAACCCTGCCCTCCAAAAAAGCATATGAAACAAAAACACCTGGTGCTAGCTCAAAGAGATAAAAACTGAGTTGCCAACTGATTTTTTTTTTTTTTAAGTCCTTGGGCTAAACCCAACTTTCCCAATCAAACCGTCCCACTTTACTTGGTTCTCATTTTCTGGGGCAACACTTGCTGCCATACAAGGCTCATCTTCTCTGCTGAATTTCACTGGTCCTTAGGTGATTTTAGGAAATGATTCCTTCTAACATAGACATGATAAAACAAGTCCTTCGGATAGACAGACTACCACTCACTTTGTGTGACTAATTCTATCTTGATAAACCCTTATAGTCATTCCGGAGTCCTTCATTCCTCCTGCCACCCCCATCATTTACCACCTCCCTATATCCTGTGTAGGAGTTCATGTTGGGTGATGGTTCTCATCCTGAAAACGCACTCCATTTTCAAGGGTTCCCACACATAGTAGTATCAGCTTTTTGGTTATATCAGAAGAAAACTGCTCAGTAAGCTGTAACATTAGTCAAATTTCATGAAATATAAACAATACTTAGTTTTAACTTAAAACAGCACTTTAATTCCAAGAAGCCAACTAGATTCAGTTCATCAAACCTCTTTCATGATAGGGGGAGACCAAAGTTGATGTTATTTTTATCACTCCAAAGAAGTTAATTTAGGCATATTTGCATGACAATTACTACTTATGCAGTGAAGTCAAATCATAGTCTAGACATTCTCTAAAGGATGTTGTGCCCAGCAAGTAGACGTTTTAGGCTAAGAATGCATATTTATCTTAAGCAATAAGGCCAACTAAGTGTGGACTTAGTAGTAGGTTGACAGAAAAAGAACACTAATTCAAAAAGATCCATGCACCATGGTTGGCACCACCGTTTTACCAGCCAAAATAAACAAAATAAGTTTGTTTATTCTGAGAACTACATTTTTWAAAAAATTATCAAGATCTTTAGCCTAAATAAAATCTCAGTTCACTAGTCTCTTTAAATGCAATACATGTAGCATTTATTTGAGAAATCTTAGGTTATGGATAGTCCACCAAAGGCAACTGAGTCCATGAGTCCAAAATCAAAAAGTTTATAGTTTGAATTGGGGATTGAACCCAGCACCTCATGCATCCTAGACAAGCACTCTACCAATAAGCTACATTATCAAAAATCTAGCTTTTAAAGTCAGGACAAGATAATTTTTGTAGCTTACAGTAACTCTGCTTTAACATTCAGTATTTACAAAAATATGAGGCCCACTGGATCCCATCTTACCTGCATAATGCCCATTCTTCGGAACATTTCTATAGTAGTATGCTGATAACTGTAAAAATATTTTTCCAACTACAGAATCTAGAGGGTTTAATTATCACTGCCTTTTATTAAAACTAGCTTCAATCTCAAAGCAAACATGTTCATGTTATTATAGCAGTATGGCATGCTGTTACATAAAGCTGGAAAATTGTGTTATAAACAAAATATATATGCAGCGCCTGCCTTCCCAAAACTCATCCCTGTAAATCATAGGATCCCTTTTGTTGGAAATAACACAATTCAGTCTCTTTAATACAACTTTATCACATCCCCATAATMAACTAACCATTTCTCATAGTTAATTTCTTCATTGTATTCCCACTGGCATAAACAAAACAAAAAAACACATCCTATTGTGCCTACTCAGCTTTTACTTATCTTTATGACTATTTTCTTTCCTTTGGTGCTAGGGACTGAACCCAGAGCTTCACAGAGGCTAAGCACTGGACTATAAAACCCAAACCCCATGACTATCTTTCTCAATTTTAAATCTGATTTCTGAATCTTTTGTCTAATTTTCAGATATGTAGACCCCAAATTTGAAATTTTTCTTTCCATTTTTGTATCCATATTAACAGTTTACATGTAATAATGTGTACTCGTTTGGCATGTAATTATAATCACCTACTACCACAAAGTACTCTCATGTCCCGTTTCCAATAAATTCCCAAACCCAGAAACCTGCCACTATAAGACTTCTTTAGAAGTAAAATGATTTTAAAACTTAAAGGCCAAACCCAAACATCTGATGAATGTTATTAATAATATGAATAAAAATATGCCACCAACAATAAAAAGAATTTCGGAAAGCATATGCTGGCTACAAAACAAAAAAGAAAATGTTAGTGGAGTAGCTACACATCTTTGAAATGTAACTGTCACTTCAGAAGTAACTGCAGAATTATTAACCAAACAAAAAAAAGGATTGTTAGAAAAAATAAAATTCACTTTTTATATCGGTAGTACTTGACAAAAGGATTAAAGCACTCCTGAAACCACTAAAACAGATGTAGTAGGTGTAATGCTACTTGATTTTCTTAATTATACTGAAAATTACAATAAAATAGTTGATTAAAGCCAACTTATTAGCCAGAGTAGGTCTTGGGAACTAAAGAAAAAGGACTTCACAACTCTAATATTGGAAAGTTCTATTTGTTTTAGTTTTTGCTGCTGAGGATCAAACCCAGGGCCTTGTGGGTACTTGTGATCTCTACCACTGAGCTATATTCCCAGCTAAATTAGGGAGTTCTTAACTTAAGAGGTGGTGATAATGTATCCCCTATGCATTGAAAAACCTGTCTTTTGACATTCTTTTTGTTGTTGCTGGAATTAAGGACAGAACCCAGGGACATTTTAACACTGAGCTACATCCCCAGTCCTTTTTATTTTGAGACAGGATCTTGGCTCAATTGCTTAGGCCATATCTCTATGTTGCAGGGGCTGATGTTGAACTTGTCATTTCCTGGGTGTACATGACCACAACCAGTTGTTTTTGACATTCTTAAAAAGAAGTCTTTAACTGTGATATGCAAAGTAATGTGCATGTAAATGTTAAGCTTAGCTATCAGTTACTGTTAAAAGCTCAAAAATGCTAGTCCCAGAAAAAACAAATTCTGCAACTTGTAAAACACAAGTATCTTCAGAAAACAGGCTTTCTAAGACACTTTGAGCCAATGAATTCAAATAAAATGTCTGTTATTGGAGATCCAGTATTTCCATCAAAAAGGGCCAATCAGGGTCAAAGTAGCCTGATCATGAGTCTTTCTACTTTCTATATTATACCACCATCTCACTGAAGGAATTTTTAAAAATAAGTTTAAAGACTACAGGAGATCTTTCCTGTAATTTTCTTAATGTTATGTTAGCAAAAACACTGTATAGCTACACTGTCACAAAAAGCAAGGTTTGTGTTAACTTAAAAAAAAAAAAAAACTAAGAAACATTTCTGCTAGAATATTTAAAGGTATTAAAGTTAGTTACTGGGCTGGGGATGTGGCTCAAGCGGTAGCGCGCTTGCCTGGCATGCGTGCGGCCCGGGTTCGATCCTCAGCACCACATACAAATTCGATCCTCAGCACCACATACAAACAAAGATGTTCTGTCTGCCGAAAACTAAAAAATAAATATTAAAAATTATCTCTTCTCTCTTAAAAAAAAAGTTGCTGCCAATATTATTAAATAAATAAATATTCTAAGATGCAGCATGTTCCAGCAAGCAAAAAAATAAGTGTGCATATGTTGAGGTGAGCAGAGTTTATATTGTATACCAGATTCAGCAAGTTAATTGACCTCGATTTTTAACACCACAGGGATTATTCCCAGGACTTTTCCATCCTCTCAACTGAAAATATAGAATCAAACCACGATGTTAGATGAAATGTTCTAGTGGTTCTGGTTATAAATCAGAAACAAGATTAATTTCCTGGTTCTAACACATCATGMACCACTATCAGTTTGGTGCTACTGGACCTTAAATTATTTGTTAAACTTTAGAAAATCTATTCTATGTAGATCTTAGATTCTCTTCACCAGAATGCTTTAGAACTTGATCTTAGTAGCAAATTTTATAAAAGCTCTGATGCTTACTGGTATCCACAATTATGAAAAGGTGTTCTCTACATACAAGCACTTTCAAAGCTATTTTCACAAACACTATTATACATGGTTGAGAGAAAGCTCAGGTTACTTCACAATACTAAAGTTGCTATAATCACAAAAGTAATTTGTTAATAGGAAATTTCCTCCTGGACTCAGCTGGGGAAAAAAAATGTATAACATCCCTCATTTACACCTTTATATTGGTGTTTTCATAACACATTTTCCATGAAGGGCTGCCAAAAGAAACAAAGGCTCCAAAGAACCACACACTGCTCCCTGGAGCCTTCCATGAGGCCTTGAGTCCTCATGTTCACAGGGAGGGTAGCTCCAAGAGTAGTGGTTGCAGCAGCTGGGCACTTGCCTTGTTACACACCTGCTACAAAGGCTTCTACAGTTGATTGTACTTCAGAAGAAACTGATACATCTCTCAAATAATCACAAGATAATTCTGGCAGCAACAGCCCACTTGACACCAAGCTGGATGAATATGAGTCTTGGATTTCTGAAGTGAAGACCTCCCTGGAAGTAGAACAGGGAGAGCTGAAAGGTTGAGAGTACTGTTTCAGAGACACCTAAGCAGGAAACCCAACCTTAACACATCAACCACTTTTCTAACAGGACTTTTACTCATTTAAAAACGAAAAACTGCTATTTTGAAATTTACACTACTATATTACTCTGAAGATGCCTAAGACAATGATAGGAAGTTCTTTATTTTTACATAAGCATTTGATGACTCAGCACTCAGCTTTAAAAACAGATGTCAAAAGCCCCCTCCTCTGCATTCTATCTAAAACAGGAAAAAAAGTTACTTACCACACAGAATACCTTTAGAAGTGATCGATCAGAATAGCATTAAAAGAGGCTTCTAAAAAATGACTTTGGCACTATAGATGTAATAAGGCCTCAAGCAGGTCTGAACCAGGAAAAAAAAATTGCAGGAAGCTACATACTAAAAATGATAGGAAGTTCTAATAAATTGGGTGATGGCCATAAGATCACATAATCCATTTTTGCCATAGTGGATAAAAACAAGTGATAGAACACACAGGATAACCAGGACAGGGCCTGCTTCAACTGAYAATAACTGGAAAGCTAGTGATCACAATAAATACTCATTATTATTTTTCAGGAGATGAGTTTGGGAGGGGAGGGAAAAAAACTGAGTAAGCCTAAAGAAAGAACACTAAAAGATGCTGAAGATTTTTTTCCCCCTTAAAAGAACAAGAATGAACAAGAGATGAGAGGGAGGGTTAAGGAAATAGGCCCAACTTATTTCAAATTAGGTTCAAAACACCTAAAAATAAATATTAAAATGTATCTTAATAAGAAAAATAAAATACAGAATTTTCACAGCAATGTTATTTTACACGTGGAATTAACACTATTAAACTCCCTTGACAATTTAAAGACTCGATTTTTTTCCCTAGAAAAAGTGTGCCTGCGCAAGAAAAATACTGAAATCTCATCTTATTTAATGTAAATGAGATTTGATATATTCATACTTAGGCAGATCTCACTAACTGGAAGCCCTGACTACAATGGAATACTTTTTATTTTGTTGTATATAAAACATATGTGAAATACAATTACTGCAACAAAGACCAGGTTAAGCAAGCAATTAAGAAACAAGATTCATATCTCAAAGGACCTTCTCACAGGTGGCAGTGTGTGTGTGTCTCCCCTACAGATGTTTAGACTTTTGCTAAGCACCATTCCCTTATTTAATAGTTTTCTTTCATGGAATCCTAAGCAATACTTTGCAGTATGCTATTTTACAGGATACCCTGTCCTGTACTGGCTGCAAGTCTAAATAGACATAGGTGCTACAGTCTAGGACATATGCTCAAGGATAGAAATGCTAGATTGGAAGTGACAAATGACTTTGAGTCTATTAATCTTTTTTATAAATCGTGCTTTCCCTTTTTCTTATAACCTGTAGGAGCTCTTCGTGAATTCAGAAGAGCAAATATCTCCTTTGGAATAATACTTGGTTATTGTTACAGTTTCCAAGATGAATGTACTAGAATACACCATCCTATTTGTGATCACACCAAATATAACTCTTGTTGATTACACTAAACCTAGGTGATGAACTAAGAGAGAATACTTCCTTTAACAGCTCTTTGCAATACTTTCAGTAAAGAGCAAGGAATACATAAAAATAACCTGAAGTCGCCAGGCACAGAGGCGCACACCTATGATTTCAGTGACTCAGAAGGATAAGGCAGGAAGATCACAAGTTCAAAGCCAGGCTCAGCCATTTAGCAAGCCCTTGTCTCAAAATTAAAAGGCTGGGGATGTGGCACAGTGGTTAAGCACATCCCTGGGTTCAATACTTGGTACCAAAAAAAAAAAAAAAGAAAGTCAACATAAAGCTAATATTAATTTCAATTTACATGAAGTTCAATCACTATAAGGAGTAATATCCTAAGGATATGTTAGACAATTAAAGAATTCAGTAAGAATATACAAATAAGAAACCCTTACAAATTCAGCAACAACTTTTTATTAGACAAACCTTAGAATGTGATTCATATTTCACTTACAATAATTATCCTAGAGTAGTGCTGCCCAACGTTCTATGATGAATGAATTATTCTTTACTGGTAATTCAAGCATTTGAAATATAACCCTCATGCATCTGAGGAATGTTTTTAAATTTTTTAAAAACAAAGCTCTCCTCCCCCAGAGTATTGGGAATCAAACCCAGGGCCTCACACATGCTAGACAAGTGCTCTCTATCAATGAGCTGTGTTCCCAGTTGCTAAGGTACCTGTATATGACTACTGTTTCAAACAAAGCAGTTCTAGAAGATACTATTTTCAAACCTCTAGAGATCAAGACTATATACATCACAAGAAAAAGACAAAACAAAAACCCCCTCTCTCACCATTGTCCCCCAAAACAACTGGGTTTGAGGTATCAAAGATCAGTTCACAAACTGATTAAGCTAGATAAAATGAACAAAATAAAATCCCATAGTAAATAAATCCTGAAGAGATACTTGAAATATGTGCTTACATAAAATGAGGCAAAAAATTTATGAAGAATATTTCAAAAGAGTTTGCTACTTTGACTCCTGCTGCAAGTCAATCCATTACAGACATTTCAAACCTCAAGAGTGGCTGCATACATTTCTGGGCAAACTGAACCGGACCAGGCTAATCCTTTTAAGTCAGTATGTTATCCAAATACTTTCTACTTGGACCATATCAAGTGAAAAACACCAGATTAGGGAAAAGGATGGCTAAATCTCTGCTTCAATTAGCTTGCAACAAACTACTTAAATAGGCATGAATAACCTATGAATGGAGGTTAAGAACAAAACATCTGTTTCCTGGGCCTTCCATTATGTAATAAGTACTTTCACTGGAAGAGTGTCCTCAGGCTTATCTAAACAATGACCAACCTAGAACAGCAAACTACCAAATTTACCTAGTGTTTACAAAACCTTTCTCATAATTAATTCGTCTATGTTCCAAAATGGTTTTGAGAGGTGTGAAGGAGAGGAGTAGGGGAAACCCTAAATTGAAAAAAGAATGTGTTGAGTGAAGACAGTGTGAAACAGACTAATAGTCACTTTATTAATTCTCTCAACTAAACTATGCAGTGTAGCAATGAAAGAAACAGTTCAACATCTTTAAAAACTGGTCTACACCGTTTTCCAATCTTGTTGGCCCTCCTAGAAAAGATAAATCTGCCCCAAGCAACAATACCATATCCCCCGCCCAAACTTACTAATCTATTAACATGCTATTAATTCATACTATGCTTATACAGAATATTTTTCTGCTACTTTATACCAGCAGAAATGCACCCTTAAGTATTTTATGCATGTCAAAGAAATAAACATACTTTAAAAATATATTTTAAGACTTGGTAAGGTAATACATGCCTATAATACCAGCTACCTGGGAGGTTGAGGCAGAGGATCACAAATTCAAGGCCAGCCTGGGCAACAGAGAATTCCCTCAAAAATAAAATAATAACAAAACAAAATAAAAAAGGCTCATTATATAGCTCAATGGTAAGAGGCCCTGGGTTCATTCCCCAGTATGGGGGGCAAGGGTTGTTTAATAAACACACACACACGCACCTTAAAACTATACATTACAATGATAATTTTACTCATCTTTCTCCAAGACTATCAACCATTAATGAATGTTCTGTTGAATTTGCTTGCATCACAGTATCTTTAACTACCATAATCAAATTTCTCCTTTTTACCACAAGAAGAATCAACTGGTTTTTTTTTTTTCAGTTGTAGATGAACACAATACCTTTATTTTGTTTATTTAGTTTTATATGGTGCTGGAGATCGAACCCAGGGCTAGAGATCACACATGCTAGGCAAGTGCTTTAGCACTGAGCAATAACCCCAGCCCCAACCTCTCTTTTCTATTAACAATTTGTGATACAAGAAGAAGCAGCACTAGCAAATTCATAAAAAACGTTAAAATAATAAGGTGGGGTCCTACTAAGGCTGTACAAATACTAACAATTGAAAGTCAGAACCTGAATGCTGATGTCCTTTTGATGTTTCTGTAAGAACATACAGTCAACTAATAACAATCMGGTAATTTTTAAAGCAAATTTAAAAAGTACACTTAATTAATTAAATCTCTTTCTATACTTAGATACAATATGACACTGAAAGACATATATATGATAGCTGGGCTTGGTGGCACAGATGTAAACCCAATTACTTGGAAGGCTGAGGTAGAAGACTCAGAAGTTCAAGGTCAGCCTTGTCAATTTAGTAAAGACACTRTCTCAAAATAAAAAGGGCTGGGGATGTAATTCAGTGGCAGAGTGCTACCAGGCTCAATCCCTAGCAGCAACAACAACAACAACAAAAAGGCTGGGGATACACAATGGTTAATTCAACCTGACTTCATTATTGGATCCATTGGTAAAAGCTATTACCAAATCCAATAGTTAAAGGGAGTTTAGTTTTCTGGACTAGATAATTTTAAATATTTTCCATTAGGCTAATTTATTAATTAAACTGGAACTACAGCTAAAGTGAACTGAAAACAAAACAAACACACTAGAAACCCCTTACTGGGGTTTCCATAAAGCCCTAGGAAATTCCACTATTGCCACCTCCACCCCAGGACTGAACACAGAATCACTTTACCATTCAGGTATATGGCCAGTCCTTTATATTTCCTGCTAAATTGCTGAAGCTGGCCTCAAACTTGCAATCCTCCTTCTTCAGCCTCCTGAGTAGCTGGAATTGCAGGTGTGTACCACCATGCCAGCCAAACATAAGGAATTTAACCTGAGATACTAAAAATATTTGTCAAGGTATTCTTAAGTCCTGGAGTTGGCTGAAGTTGTGGCTCAGAGACTGCATGCAGAGGCCCTGAGATCTATTCCCAGCACCAAAGATATATTCACAATGCTCACATAATGCATCATATTCTAAAAACAAATTTCAAAAGAAAATGATTTACAGCTAGTGATGGGCACACCTGTAATCCCAGCAATTTGGGAGGCTGAGGTAGGATTATAAATTCCAGTCTTTGGCAATTTAGTGAGATTATAAAAACAAATTTCAAAAGAAAATAATCTACAGCTAGTGTTGGACACACCTGTAATCCCAGTAATTTGGGAGGCTGAGGTAGAAGGATCATAAATTCAATTCCAGTCTTTGGCAATTTAGTGAGATTCTGTCTCAAATAAAATGAAAAGGGCTATGATGTAGCTCAGTGGTAGTATCCCTGGTTTCAATAGCCAGTATTGAGGGAGTGGGGAGAGGTTGTACTATGTAAGCAACTTCCATAGCTTCCAGATCCTTAATGAACTACCTCTAAATTCAGATGTTTATTTGATTTAAAAACCTTACCCTGAAGCATATCCTGGAGCTCAGATCTCCTGCACAGGAATTCTACTAATATTCAACAGTTAACATGCTTTGCAATGTTTTATGGAAAGTTCTCTTATTGGTTCCAAATAGTACTGTTGCTCAACATAAAATTAATCTCAGGGTTTCAGTTTCTAGAACACACTATTATATATAAGAATATTACATTTCTGGGAGGTATGATTCTCTTACCATTTTTACTAATTCTAGTGAAACAATAGAACAAAGTATTTTCTGAGTTCACAATTAGTCAAGGTTTAGAGCAATAATGTGGTATCTATAATATATAACGTAACTCTCTCCAAGAGAATGAAACAGCATCCTATAATCACAATATATCTACATCTAAACTCTGGAATATTAACATTAAATGGGATAGGATAAAAATAGCCTCACCTCAGCACAGATTCAGGTCATGTTTTTCTCCCAAATTAGTTTGGGTCACACCAAGGAAGCTGAAGGAAAACTCTTTTAAAAAGTTTTCTGGATTTCAAAATTATATGAATAAGGGATTGTGGACTTATAGCTTTATAGCAAAGTATCTAGTACAAGAGTATATGTTAATACCTTGTCCCTGGGCATAATAAATCTAAAAATCAGTAATTTGGGCTGCCAGAACTTACAGAATAAATAATAAACATCTTTAGCATAGTCTGTCTGTTCCCACTTTCCTCATTCAAAAGAGTAAGGACTTTCTGAATTTTTGGTATTACTTATTATTCTAAAACTACTTTTTCTTGTTTGGCAAAAATTATTCTATATATTTCAGCTTATTGTTATCAGTGTCAAATGTGTAAGAGGAAACATTACAAATGTTAAAGAAAATAAATATTTAATTTCCAATTTAGCAAAAAACTAAAAACATCCTTCATTATAGCCTTCCTTAAAAGAAAAATTAATTTTCACCTTAGAATTTATTTGTATCTTTGCCAATCAGATCCTCCCAGCTAACTTCAGGGAAAATATCAGATATCCTAGAAAAGACAGACTAACAATATTAGGTAATGGACTTGGTACTAAGATGTTGGCACCATGCTTCTCTTTTAATATGCATACAAGCAATCTGTTTAAAATGCACATTCTGAGTGGGGCAATATGGTATACACGCCTGTAACCCCAGCAACTCCCGAGGCTGAAACAGGAGGATCACCAAGTACAAGGTCAGCCTCAGCAATTAGCAAGACCCTGTCTCAAAAGATTCTGACTCAAGTTGGGTAGGATTCTATATTTCTGTTCTAAATGATGCTAATACTACTCATCCAAGAAACACAATGCATAACCACACAGCATTACAATTTTTTTTTTGTTCTGCTTAGGATTAAGAATTATTCTAGTCCAACTTTATTATATGGCTATGTTTCAAAAACTAAGCAATTTGCTTAAATTTATACAGGTTGGAAAAAAGCCAAAATAGGAAAACCTCCAATTAGGGTTATAAGCATTAGAACTTGTAACTTGTAAAATCCTAGTACTTAAAACTGTTCTGTCTCTTTAGCCTTAACCTAAAAACCTGAAACTAAAAATCTAAATGAGTTAACTTCAACATCAAATGGTACTTTAAGGGTTTGGTTTAAYACCCTCTCATAAGATAGAATAAACATGCAACTTAGGGGCAGGGGATGTGGATGTGGCTTAGTGGTTAAGCGCCCCTGGGTTCAAACCATGGTGGTGGTGGTGGTGCAGTCTAAAGAAATACTAAATTCACCAAACTGTTATCTTTTGGTTTTGTGAAAATTTCTAATACTATTCCTTCCAAGTTTCTGACCAAGAGAAATATCCTAATTTCAATACCCCAAATCAAATTTCAATAGCAAGAAATCTATATACAATTAAGTTTTTAAATGAACCAACCACACAAATCTAGCAGCTCAAATATTTTACTGAGGAATGATATTTTGCATGGGGAATCAATTCTAAAAAGTCAATCCATACAGAAAATCTAGTCAAAAACTATCCTTGAAAATCTGTTAGAAAGGTAGCAGGATGGGGGAGACATAGACATCTTTCAGAAAGTCCTCTAGCTGAATATTATATAAAAAGTCATTTTATGAAAAGGAATGTAAACTAGAAAAATCATATTTAGTCTAGCTAAGACTAAGAAAACAAAAACTAAGATTCATGTTTCAAATCCCATGCTCTGAGGTATACATTTACTGAGTGAAATGGCAGCAGAATCCTTTCCTTTATTTAAAAATGTCTTTGGGGCTGGTGGTATAGCTCTGTGATAGAATGTTAATAAGCATGCATGAAGCTTGAGGTTCAATCTCTAGTACCAAAAAAATAAAAATGGCTTTTGACTTTTTTCTGATCAAGACTAGTACTTGGACCAAAGTTAAATGGTTGAATGATGTGGCAAACTACATCTTAAATCCAAAAACCACTGTACAGCCAGGGATGGTGGCACACGCCTGTAATCCCAGGAGCTTAGGAGGATGAGACAGGAGGATCACAAGTTCAAAGCCAGCCTCAGCAAAAAGGCACTAAGCAACTCAGTGAGACTCTGTCAATACAAAATAGGGCTGGGGATGTGGCTCTATGGTTGAATGCCCCCGAGTTCAACCCCTGGTTCCAAACAAACAAACAAAAACACTCTACAATTTATTCATGTAAAATATATTATATGCATTCAAGAGAAAGTAAATTATAAATTACCCAGTTAAGTGGTGAACAATGCCTAAATTAAACTGAATAGTTAAGTCTAATCTATAACTGTCAAGAGTTTTTAAAGATCACTGCTCTTAAAGAAATACAACTTCAAGTTTTAAAAAACACAGCACTCTCACTTGCCTTCATTTTACTGGGATCCCCTAGGTACTTACATGGACAAGTTAGGAGATGGAACCCCCCTATCATCAGCTAGGTTCCCAAGGTGGCTCGGCGTTAAAGTCGAACTGCTCTCTATACAGCACTTCTCCTAGGCCTTCTGGGTAGTTGTATACTTGGTCAGAAAGTTCGCCCTAAAGAAAATAAAAGTGGCAGATAATTCTATGTTAAAAAATAAAATTCAGCTGTGCTCCAATAGCAGGTTCACTTAAACTACAGAACTTTAGTTTTAATAGAATATGTTTTGTTAAAGTCACATTACCCAAAATGTTTCAAAGTGTTTACCATAGAACCAAGCACTTTTTATTAATTTTTATTAATTTCCAAGCTGCTCTACTACAGAAGTTCACAGAACCTGGCACCAGTCACCTTATCAAGTTGCTTTATCTACCTACTCATGAATTTCCAGTCTAATTTTGCCTCCCCCCACCCTTTTGGTGGTACTGGAGATTGTATCCAGAGTCTTGCACATGCCAGACTCTACTTCTGAGTTACACATTCATTCCTTTTTATTTTATCTTGAGGGAGATAGGACCTCAAACTTGTGATCCTCCCACCTCAGTCTCCTAGGTAAGTGGGACTACAGGCATGCACCACAGTGCCTGCTATAAATTTTGCTTTCATTTGTCCAAGTACCCTCAACAATCCAGCATATATGCAAGATTTTAAATACATAACGTTCTAACTTGATCTTAAAGTCTGGAACTACCCAGAACACCCTTCAAATTCAAGTCCAAATTTTTCTTTGCTTAAAATGCAAATTCTTATTACTTAAAAAAAGTTGTACATCCTAATACCTTATGTATCTGAATTATTGAGAAGTCCTTATAATGTTAGGCAAGTAATCTCTTAAGCTTTACTTTCTCATACCCAACTTATCTAGATCTACACTTCATTCTATTACCACTAGAAGCAAATGAATTGTCAAAGTGTTTGCCACACTGCACAAAATGCTGTTTTATAAATGGTCATCACCTATTACAGTTTGACTGGTTCCCAAGATAAAATGCTATACCTACATTTCTATTTGTAATTCAATAGTTACTGTTTTAAAGTAATAGAACCTGACAGTATGTGCTAGAAAAGGTTGGTAATAAGGAAACCAGAAATAATAAAACTAGAAATTTAAGGTCAAGAGTTCGAAAAATTTCAGAAACACTCTTAAGCATGCCTAAAGCCTCCCTTTGCCCTCCACCAGGATTCAAGGATTCCTTGAAGGAAGTAATATGTTCTACTAAGCAGGGGAAACTGGTTAAAGACACTCACAGTTGATGACCAAAGAATACATATTAACTTGCAACAATGATTATAAACTTACATAAAATTCCAAATAATGTGCTACTCCGTAAACATTCCAACTCTTCCCACATCTAGATAATTTTTAAAAATAAACAAAAATACAGTTCACTCTCAATTATCCTAGGGAACAGGATAATTATCCTTGGTAAGACATTATTCATCATTTCCCTGCTATATTACCCAYAGCTATTTTGCTGCTTAAGTGATTTGAAATATAAAAACATTAATCTTTAGAAATGCAAGAATGTTCTTCAGTAAGATCTTTAATAAAACTTGAAGCTGGGCATTGTAGAGCATGCCTATAATCCCAGTGACTTAGGAGGTTGAGGCCTAAAGCAACTTAGGGAGAGTCTATCTCAAAAAAAAAAGTGGTTGGGGATGTGGCTCAATGGTTGAGCACTCTGGGTTCAATTCCAGGTTACCCACCCCACCCCCAAAGACACTAAATTTAACAAAAATACACTATCAGGGAAAGAAGGTGCCAAACTTTGAAAAGCACATTTTCAAAAGTATGAATGATTAAATGAAAAAGATAAAGGAATTATGAAAAAATTTTCAGTTAGAATGGTTTGCATAAATTAGCTAGATGAGACAACTCTGCAACCAAGTTCCTCAACAATCATTTGAAGAGCACGGCATACCAGACCTGACTGAATCAGCCAGCAGACCAAGACACAAAAAACCTATCACTTTTGACACTTAATATCTCAAAACTTAGTATCTCAAAATTATGATTTTTTTCGACACATTGTTTTTACCAATTATTTCTAAGGTTGTTTTGTAGTATTCTTTCAAGTAATAAGAAAAATATCAAGACAAATCCAAATTGGAGGGTAGTCTATCAGGTATCTAACCAATACTTCTCTGCACTGAAAATCATGAAAAGCAACAGAAAATGTAAATTGTCACAGATCAGATAAGACTGGGGAGATATGACAACTAAATACAATGTGGTAGAGTTAGGACTGAATTCTGGAAAAAGTAAAGAACAACAAAAAGCAACTATTGGCTGGGGTGTAGCTCAGTGGTAAAGCATTTGCCGAATACTAGTAAAGTTCCAGGTTCAATCCCTAGTTCTCCAAAAACCAAAAGCCTGGTGAAATTTGAAGAAACTCAAAAGAGTTTAAGTAATAATACTTAACAAATTCAGTTTACTTTAGATTAAATGTATCAATACTATAAGATGGTCAACTGGTTAAGTATACAGGAACTGTTACTGTCTTTGAGACTTCCTTTGTGTGCATAAGACTGAAATTTCTAAAATAAAATTATTTTTTTTTTAAAAATCAGGCAAGGTATTTATAACAATGTACTACTCTGCAATAAAAAACCTTCTGAAAAATGCAATGTGAACATCAAAAACATGCCAAATTAAAGCCTTTTACACAAAAGAATGCATACAGATTGATTCTAAAAAATCAGAATCATGGTTGAGTCTGTGGGAACTTGTAGACAGTTTGACTAGACAAAAGGGAACTAACTATCTGGGCCAATAGCACTGTTCTGCACATTGATAGAGGCTTGAGTTATTACATAGCAGTATTTTTTGTAAGGCTCAAATGGTACACTTTTGTGGATTTTACCGTCAATTTTACTCCCCCCAAATTTTTTAAATTGCTAACAGCATGGAACCCTATCTAACGATGAGGTTCCTATCTAAAGTTGGAAGGGAAGTGTTTTGGTGTCTCTGACATAACTGTGAAATTCACGCAACAATTAGATAAGGCAAATAAAAGAAAATGTTAATGTTAATTATAGAATCAAAGTGGAGGTACCACTCTTTAACCTGTTTGGGATCCTATATAATACGTTGGGGGACAAAAACTATAATTTGATTTCATTTCAAATTATTATTTGATTTCATTTCTATGCCTATAGTCATCTTTCCTACTTAATGTAAAACACCTCGGAGCTTATTTGTCCTCAGGATCAGTATTTGCATGATATCTTATGTGTAAGGATCATTAGGGCCTCGCCAAACAACCATTAGCCACATTGCTATCAGGCTTTCCTGAGCGCACAATAAGGGAGAGAGATTCCTTAAGAGTCATTCTCAACCCAAGCTGGACACAGAAAAACTTAACATATTCAACCAAGATGCCACCACAAAATCCAGTAAAATCTGTTGAAACATGACTGGACTGTAAATTGTATCCCCAACCATTTCTGGTTTCCTAGCCAGTGGTTTAGTCTAAGGAATACAAGTTCAGGGCATATATTCTCTAAGATTTGAAACACGTCATCACCATTAACTGCTGGCAGTCAAGATAATACCTGATAAGCCACCCCAGCCTACCCTTTTCCCTCTTTCTGCCCAGAAATCGCGGCGCGAACTGGAAAGTGAAGCCATGGTGACTAATCCTCAGACTCCGGGAGGTGACTGGGGTGAGTGAAAGCGACTTGGCCCAATCAGGAACGCCGCAGAGGCGGAGCGGCAGCCCCGAGGCTTCCAGAAGGGGCCAAAGGCCTCCCGCTCGCTACTTGACACCGGGGCTTCCCCACCGCCGGGCCCCGAGTGGGGTCAACTTTCCTCCACCAGAGGGGGACCGCGCTCCCCTCACCCCCCAGACCGGCTTCCTCCGCAGCTGTCACAAGAGGCCGGTTCTGGGCCCGACCGGCTCCATTCATAACCCGGCGCCCGAGCCGCTGCAGCCCATCGCGCCGCCCACCCGGCTCCGGAACCAAAGGCGGCCGAGCAAAGCCAGCCGCAGATAGGGACCACGGCCCGAGGGGCCGTAGCTGGGCCCCCTCCCCGGAAACAGCAATGCACCACGGGAGAGGGGTGGGGGCCGCACGCTGCCGGGAGTGGACCACGACCCCCGGCGGCCAGACCACCGCGCGCGCCCCCGCACGCACACGCCCCCTCGCCCCAACCGCTGTGGCTCGGGTTCTCCAGAGCGCCGGGCGGCCGCCTCTAAGGCCCTGAAGCGCGACCCGCCGCGCCAGCCCCGCCACCCGAGGCACCGACAGCCGCCACACACGCCGCTGTCCGCCATGTTCGAAGCGGCTGGCCGCGGGGAGCTGCGGGGACTCCAGGGCTACGCGGCCCACGGAGGCACCCACCACCCCCGAGGCCGGCCCGCGCCAGCTCCTCCCGCTCTCCTCGTCCCAGTACTCACGTGAGATAACGGCCCAAAGAGTCGGGTAAAGCGTCTTCTCTTTTTYGGCGGAATTTTTAAAGAGGGATGTGGTTACCTTGAGCAGAAATACCCAAGGCGGCCTGGGCCATAGGCTGCGGGGACGACGTGGGGAGAAAAGCGCGGCACCGACACCAGCTGAGCAGCAGTGGCAGCGGCGGCCAGAGAGAAATGGAGCAGCGCGGGTAAAAGGAGAAAGTCGCGGGCTGGGTGGGGAGAGGATTTGGCCTCGTCACACCGCAGAGCAGCAGAACGTGAAAGGAAAAGARGAGGCAGAGAAGGCGACAACAGGGTGAAAAAGAGGAAACGCTTCAGCCGCGAGAAGAGCCAAAGAGTGTGGGAAGGCGGTGCCGGAGACGCCAGTATTTATAGCCAGTGGGCGGGGTCTGGTGACGTCACAGCCGGCCAGGCAGCCGCGCGAGCGGGGCGGGGCACGGCAGTAGACTGGGGAAACTCGAGGGGCGGAAGAGGAAGGAGGCCAGCGCTGGGCTGTGGTGAGAGGGGAGGGGCGACCCGGCAGTGCAGGTGCAAACCCGCGGGTCGCTTCCCGCCCTCCAGCCGCTCGTAGCTTTAGGCCTGCGGAAGGCCCACCACAGTGACGTGGGCCTGAGAGTGGCCTGGCGTCTGGGCCTGATAGCGGCGTGTCCCCTCTGCCTCCGCCCCGCAGCGCCTGCGCTCAGGCTCGCGGCAGCCTCCAGTGCTTTGTGAGCTGAGCAAGTCTACACACTAGCGGCAGTCCTGAGTACTGTCTTGGGCTCGGGTCAGCGCGACCCCTGCTTTGCACGGGAGGCTGTGGGTACCATCGCAGGGTCTTTGGCAATGGAGCTCACTCTATTTTGTGGGGACTGTGGTCTACACCTGGGGACCGCCCTTCCAAGGACAGGTCAAGCCCTCTCGGGATGCAGCAATTCCTTTATGGAAGTGATTTCCTCATGGCTAGGAAGGGTCGGTCTTGTGTTCGGCTTGTGACCCCAGGAGAATGTCCTCAGTACTCCCGCGTTGCAGCATGGTGCAGAAGAAAAAAATTTTTTTTCTTTAAGGAGTGTGATTTTTGAAATCTATGTTTTAAAATGGGTTGGTGCAGCAGGGCGCAGAGGTGCCCCCTTGTAATCTCAGCGGCTCCAGAGGCTGAGGCTGGAGAATCGCGAGTTCAAAGCCAGCCTAAGCAACTCGACGATAGTCTGTCTCTAATAAAATACAAAAGAGGGCGAGGGATGTGGCTCAGTGGCTAAGTGTCCCTGGTTTCATCCCTGTACTAAAAAATAAAAATAAAGTGGGCTGGTGCTGTCAGACCGAGCCTTAATAATGCAGAAGCAGTGTTGAAGTGTACTGTTGTTACACGCACACGACTAATCCCCCACATTTTATGAGCATTTTGATTTTCCTACTCCTTAACAAAGTTTRTACTATCGGGTCCAGGATGACTTACATAGCTTTCAATTAGTGCGCCCGCCCCCCCTTAAGGTATCTTAGTGATAATGTTGTGCAACTTAGACTTAACAAGGCAAAGCAAATAGGATTGATAGCCTCCAAAGTTAAAGTCTTTTGAATCTTTGAGCTGGTTGCAGTGGCATAGACCTGTAATCCTGCTACTTAGGACAGGGAGGATCACAAGTTTGAAGCCAACCCTAACAATTTAGCCAGATCCTGTCTCAAAATAAAAAGGTTTGAGATGTAGCCAGATGATAAGAGTGCCCCTGTGTTCCGTCCCCAGTAATGCAAAGTTAGGACCTTTGAGATGAAAACCCTCACTTTTTCACCTTTCATTCTGCCCCACATTSTTTTTACATTGTGACCAGCACAGTTAATAATAAATCGTCAAAGGAGAAAGGAAGAGAAGAAGGCAAGATATCTTGTGATGATGAAATGTAGTCTCTGGAATAGAAACATTAGGTAGAAATTAAGAGTTGTGAACTCTGATTTTGTTTTTCTGTATTTTGTTCTGATGTATCTTGGCTTTCTATAATACTTATTGAAAGTTCTGTGCAATTCAGAACACAGCAACTTTACTAGACACCCCCATCCCCACCCCAATCCATGAAGGAAGGAAAGCTAAAATTGAATACACCACTTGACATCTTACAGTCTATCAGGAGAAATAAAACAACTACACAACTACTGCTGACAGATAAACAGATTTTTAAAATGCTCCAAGGAACCTAGTAAAAGGAGGAAATAATTGCAGCTAAGAGAAAACCTACCAGGAAAAGGTACAGAGTCATTTTGTGCACCTACACTCCAGGGAAGGGAAACAGGTTTTTGAAAGCTGATGTTCCAGCAAGGGAAACATGAGCAACGCCACAAAAAACGACAGGTTTACAGAACTGAGTGGGCTTTCCACCTCCATCTTAAGAGCATGGTTACAAAAGAGATTGAAAAGGTAGGTTAGGGTTAGATCAAGAAGGAATTGGGACTTTATTCTGAAACCATTTAAACAGGGATATGATATCCTCAAAGATATGTTTTTAAGAGATTACTCTGGCATTGGCCGATGAGATTGAAAAGAAGTAGGTGATTTGGCAGTAACAGTGAGGCAGACTCAGTAGCTTTTTTAAAAGTACTAAGGGATTCAGAATGGAAAAGGCAAGCAGTGGGAATTAAACGAGACTGCTTGGAGCTTAAGGAGTTTGAGCTGTTGACAAAATCCAGGTAAGGTCCCCTGGAAATGGGGAGATGTGGAGCTCTCTGGGTTGAGTTTGAGAATTAAGGAATTGTTGAGGTGAATAGGAAAAGGAATAAAAGCACAGGCCCTAAAGAAATGCCAGAAGAGACACTGGCAGATAAGACCAAGAGCAATGACCGAAAGTAGAAAGAGAATTATAATAGTGCAATGTCAAGCCATTCAGGGAGTGGGTGTTTGAGGATGGAATGTGTGCTCAGGATTGTCATCTTTCTCAAGACAAAAGTGGGTTCTGATTTTTGCAAATGGCAAATCATTGGTGAACCCTAATCTCATGTTAAGAAATTTGGATTTTTATCTCACAGGCATTGGGAAAGGTTGCAATCATTCTAGTGATTTGCATTTTAGAAAAGGAGAATATGGAGGTGGGAAGAGAAAGGACTAAGTGTCAGCAGGGAAAACATTTGAGAAGCAATTGTAGTCATTCATGAAGAATGATAAGAAGTTATCATTCTGAGAAGAAATTATTTGTGACCTTTAACTGAACAATTTCAGAGGAGTGGGAGGAACAGAAGGTTCTAGAGGTTCAAGGGAGGAGTGTTTGAAGTTAAGTCATGAATAATGACCTCTCTTCAAGTGAAGGGTACTGAACTAAGGCCTAACCCAACATTGTTTACACCATGAAGCAATTCCTCAATTATTGTTACAACTGTGTACTCTGGTAATGAGTAAATTCAAATTTAAAGGATGATACTTGCTTTTAATGAATACCATAGAACCTTGAAAGCTGTGCTACATCTGAGTAGACAGAATGATAGCTTCCTAATGAGAACAGCATATTTAATTATGTTTGGGGTTTGGGGTTTGGGTTATTTTGCCAAGTCAGCTTTCTCATACACAAATATACAGATAGTACCAGCAAAAATATTATTATTAAGGGGCTGGGGATGTGGCTCAAGCGGTGGCGCRCTTACCTGGCATGCGTGGGGCCCGGGTTCGATCCTCAGCACCACATGCCAACAAGGATGTTGTGTCCGCCAAGAACTAAAAAATAAATATTAAAAATTCTCTCTCTCTCTCTCTCTCTCTCTCTCTCTCTCTCTCTCTCTCTCTCTCTCTCTCTCTCCTCTCTCACTCTCTCTTAAAAAAAAAATATTATTATTAAATAGAGAACCCTAAGATCAAATGATAGAATAACATTCACACTTGGATAACCCTGGTCCACTGACTCAAACCTGTTTGCTTAACTAATTAAATTATTGATAGAGGCAAGTCACTGAAAATAATATCACCAGCTTATGAAAGAAATCTCATGTAGTCACATATGTGAATGCGACAAATGCAGAGTAGTGAAATCTCAGTTCAAATGAATGCTGAGGTTTTGGAATATGTTATCTGAAAAGCATGTGTTAGAAACTTAATTCCCAATGCAAGCATGTTAGGAGGAGGGGCCCCACTGAGAGGTAATTAGGTCCCAGAGGGGAGTAAAGGGATCAATGCCATGACCAGAGGTAGTCCAAATAAAAGGACAGAGTTTAGTCCCCCACTGTCTCTCTTTCCCTTCTGCCTTTCTTTCTCACCTGCTCTTTGCCCTTCCACCATGGGATAGCACAGCAAGAATGTCCTCACCAATCTTGGATTTTCCAGTCTCCAGAACAGCCAATAAATTCCTGTTATACATTTTCCAGTTGTGGCATTGTGTAATAAAACACCAAATGGACTCAGACAATGGAAATCTTTAAAGAAAGCTCAATTTAAAAAGAATATTTTTGGTCAGGTAAGTTCCTAGAGTATTTCTTATTATGTAGAAATCCAAAATATATAGGTTCACAATATTCAAAGCATTCACATTTAAAACATTATGAGGGCTGGGACTGTAGCCCATGGTAAAACACTTACCTATGGAAGGTGCTGCATTTGATCCCAGCACTGATAAACAAATTACAGTAGTTCAGATCTCTACCACATCTTTTTGTGCACTGATAACCTTTCTAAAAAGCTGGCTCACTTATAAAAATCAGATGCTATTGTACTTATGGCCTAGTAAAAGTGGGTAAAATATTTCCAAATTATTTTGCCATATGCAAAGTTCAGATTATGTACTATTCTCTCTGCAATAACTATGACTCCATTAATTGCTGAGTACCTGTTTTTTTTTTTTWAAAAAAARSCYTT